CTTTTTTGTTGTTATATACCTGGATGACTGAGAAAACAAACTTTGTGAATATTTTCTATTGTTTACCTTTTTTCCACCAGTAATGGCCACCTTCAGCAGCTTCCGATGGCAGAACTTGGCATATGTGCTGACAGGAAGGCCTGTAAGATGGCAGAAAGAGCAAATTCAAGACCAAAAAGTCAACACACAAACCCATGTTAGATCCTTCAGCATCCCTTAAGCATCAGTCATTACTGAAAGCACAAAATAATAAATGATTTGAATTCTTTCCCATGAACAGGAACAGCAGTGTTTTTATTTCCCACAGATGTCAGATGGGAGGCAGGCAGCAGTAACTAGAGAGACATGTTGACGGTGCGATTCCAGCATATGGGGATTAGAGCCGACCTGGCTGAACTGTCAGGCTGAGCAAAGATTTACTGCTGAGGAACAAAAGCTTCAGAGACAGGATCCGGCCCACACATCTAACGCTCAGGTGATTCATCAGTACACAGACTGAAAGGCCTCGGGAGGAGTATAAAAAGCCCCACGAGGTTTCCTGTAAACAGCTACCGTAGCGACAAGCCCTACTCTGGAAAAGTAAATTTAACTGATTGGATTTTTTACTCACGACCAGATATCTTAGAGACTTAAAGGCAGTAAAAATCCTGATCTGTCCTTGAAAAATTGTTCCCAGAAATTCTCTCTTTCTACACATCTCAAACTAAAAGCCAAGACAGTCATATTCTGAGATCATCTTCATCTTTCATCTCTGAGGAAACCTGAAACAAACATGACACTCTTGTGAGGGGTTTTCCTCTTTCTGCATCAAGAACTCAACCCAAGTCCAGGAGGAGAAACTTACTGAAGGATAAAGTAACAAACACTTATCCATATATTCCCCACAGTCAAAACTCAGATTTATAGGAAACAGGTGACTTCTATGCTAGTGTGCAACTGCAGCTAATCTGACAAACGTCTGACTGCGATTATATCTAATTAAACCAATCAGACCAATATTTTGCCCTTCATCTTGGCAAAGGCAAGCATTCTTCCCCTAAAGGCACCCAACATAGAAACTGAACTCTTAACTAGGAGAAAAGAACAGAGCAGAGCCCCTGTGCTCAAGTGAGAAGAATGATCTGAACCCCACTGGAGGTCTATATTTACCACGGTTTGATCCGGTGAAAGCAGCAACGACTGAGCAACCAAAGCCTGGGAGAAATACGAGCTCATTAGGAGCCTGAGTGTACCGTACCAGGCTGAGAATGACATGACACTTGTCTGCATGCAGGCTGAAGCTATACTTAACGACAAAAACAGAGATATTAAAAGATGATGAGAAGGAGACAACCCCCGTCTCGTTTTCATAGTTTATGGGACGGCTGTAAACAATCCACTCCACGCTGAGAGCTTAGAGAAGTTGATAAGCATCAGTCAGGCCAGATCTCATCACTACTTGTTCCTCTGCTCTGATGAAATATCTAGCTTCATGCTCCGGTATCCGTCAAGCAAACAGCAGCTGGCATTGTATTCTCTTTGTTTAATGTAATCTCTGAAATGTCCAGTACCGTATTTTCCACTCTATAAGTTGCATCAGTCCAAATATGTCTAATAAAGTGGAAAAATCCACAAATATGTTGCTTCGCCATATACGTCATAGCTATTATGCGTCACTGCTAACGCAGCGCGTTTGTTATGCGTCACTGCTGTCAATCTGGAAATGTGGGCAGAACCCAGAAACATGGGTTGGTGTTGTGTCAAAAATCGATTGGCTGCCAAATGGCGGCCGCAGGAGCGTGCACGGGAGGACTTTAACAAGAATTTAACAAGATTAACACTTAAAAACAATTATTTGTTTGCTTAAAATTATAGTAAAAGTGTGTCTCAGTCTAACTTTTCCTTAATAAATGCACTGTGATGGTCAAATCAGACGCATCGCAAAACCCAATTGGTGGAAGCGAGCACGGGCAGAGGGCAACTCGGTTCATTTCTTCAAAATTTAACAAGATAACCACCTACAAACAATTATTTGTCAACTCGACTTTACAGTAAAGGTGCGTCTCAGTTGAACTTTTCTTTAATAAATGCACTTTGATGATCAAATCATTTTGCTGGAGTGGCGCAGCGAAATGAAGCTGATTTGGTTGATCCAGACAGATGACGGTGGCAAAATATGGCAAGCTGATTGTGTCAATAATAGCCACTTTTACCTATTGCATGATACAACAGCCACTCGAGTGCCATCTAGTGTCTGAAAATGGTAGTGTTCAATATTTTCAGTCAGAATGAATGAAAACGGTCATATCTCAGCCAAAAATTGGTTTATAAATATGGGAAAAAATCCATAAATACATCACTTTTGCATATAAGTTGAAGGGCATGTAAATTATGCAAAAAAAACAAACCTGTGACTTATAGGGTGAAAAATATGGTAGATTTTCTCCTTAACATTTCAGTCAGCTGAAGTTTTATCTCCATGATCCTGAGTCACTGAACTGTAAGGCCACTGCTGCAGTGCTATGATTTGTTTCCCCGGTGACATCATCTAAGAGCTGGCAGTGCGGTCTGCTCTAATGAAGGCACGTGTTGATGAGTTGCTGCTCTCTTAAATGGCAGGCTGACACACCAGAAATGGTGCCAGTATGATTCACAGTGTGGTCCATTGTGCATGAACAAAACTTCTGAAATTCTCATCCTACTTGTTTTCCTCTGCTTAACTTTCTGTGAAACCCATTTATTGTGTGTGCCTGTACATCAGCTTGCACTCATCTGACTAAGTATACAGCCATGAATTTTCCATCCCACTCGCAGTGGTCACTCTACAGGGAGCAATATGTTTGAAATGTAATGGTTTGCATTGTAAAGACCCCGAAGAAGTGCAAAAACATATGTGGGACTGAGTCACAGCCTATTTAAAGCTCTACTCAACAGATAAACTTGTACAAGTGAGAGATACAGAGGATTCATTGTTGTAAAAGTAACATTTCAGGCATATTTTTTAAATAAACAAGGTTACAATTGTACCGTCTTCCTCATCTGTGCTTTGTTTTCGCTTCTTTCTGGACTTTGAATTCTTCTTCATTTTCAGTTCTTGCTGTTCCAGTATAAACTGTGTCACTATAAAAAAACAAAAACAGAAGTTAACAAAGGTCAAACATACACAAAAAGAGACAATTTAGCAGCCTTTTTATAGTTAAAATCACAATTCAACAAGAAGATTTCACTGGAAAAAGAAAGTGAATTCTAAAAAGAAATAAAGTCTTTCCTGCCAATCAAAAACACAGACGATCAGACAAACAGGCAGGTGCAAAATGAAAGAAAGGTGACCCACCGTGTAGCTCAGTCTGAGACTCACATTTCTTGTCGCTGTTGGGCTCTGTGTGTCTCTGGATGTAGCCTTCCAGGTAGCAGCGGAACTTGGGTGATGGGGCGAAGAAGGCCAAACTGACAGCCATAAGCTCCCAACCCGCCCCCAAGCTCCTGGGGCTAGCGTTGCCTGTGGTTTGCCTCACCAGCTGCACGTACAGCTCGTCCCGCAGCCCTGGCATGTCCCAGCACTTGGTCACGATGAGCAGGGCGCAGTGACGGCGGTCGAGCCGTGAAGGCCTGTCTCCCATGTAGGCCTGAACTAGCTTGAACATCTCACAGGCCTCCTTTCTGATGGCGCGGTTACTGGTGACCAGCATGGGCTTTTTGATGGAGCCACGGTTCCAGGACAACATATTAGCGATGGAGACACGGCGCCGGAACAGTCCTTGGGTATGCATGTTCAGATGCTTGCTGGCCCAGTCTTCCATGCCCATGTCAGGAGGTGGAGGTTGTCGCAGGGTGGCGTAGGAGAGCTGGAAGGACGATCCTCCTCCTCTACCTCCTGTACCATCATCTCTTTCTCGATTGTCGTGGTTGGAAGAGCGGTGTGGACCCAGGGAAGCTGTTCGTCCGTCCACCATGCCTTTCTTCCTGCTCTCCAACTGAGCCTGCAGCTCCAAGGTGTCCGCCTGCGGGGGAAGGAGGAGTGGACATGTAACTGAGAAGAAGAGTTTGAGGGAGAAATAGAATTATGGAAGGGGAGGCAAACACAAACACAAACAAACTGTGCAGCAGCAGTTGGAGCTGGACCATTCTCTGCAGTGTTGGGACTTCAGGGGAAACTGCAGATTGGTACATTAATGTTCTGAAACTAGCCGTATAACAAGAGAAAATCCCTCTGTAAATCCTCCTGAACACTGGGTGGGCACACAGTGGCACCAAGTTCTTACTTCTCCCCTCTCCAGAACAGGCTCACCTCCACAACAAAACCAAAGCTTTGCTTTACCCAAGACCTCCCTGTGAACCCTGAGGTGGAGCTCAGGACTTTAACGGAGCACCCCAGCTCCATTAACAGAGACAGCCAGCAACCTCCATATGCTCAACATACAGCCAGGAATAACACAAACCACAAGCCAAAAATCCTAGCCCAAGTTTACTACAGGAACATAAAACACGCTGGTGTGTCTCTTCAATGAGCCACTCAGTAGTACGAGTGCCAGAGAAATTGCAGCTCAGATTTTGGTTCCTCAATCATGGGTGTCAAATCTGAGGTTTGGATTTGCAAATCGTCCACATTTGTCATTATGTTTTTTGGGAGTGACACAGGTCAGTTTCTTACCAAATACATTTTGCATCATGTGAGGATAACTTAGTTGCACTGCGAGTTCTGAAACTGTAGAAAAACATATCAACAATCTTTTTAAAAATACAGCGCATCTTTTAAAACTTACATTGCACAATGTCCAGGAGGAAATACTTTAAAAGATACACTGAACAGAATAATCTATTAATTATTCATCTCAACAGTAGTTCTGAGGAACATTCCAGCAGCCTTCTCATTCTTCTTTTGCTTTTTCCCAACATGCTAGTCCCAGTTGAACTAGCCTACCATCCTTCCTCCTCCTCCACACAACCTGGGCCATATGGGCCACAGCAGCCCTCCTTCCTGACTGAGGGAAGTCATGTCCCGAGTCTCCCGGCCTGGCAGGGCCTTGCTACTCGTGTACAAACCTGGCATATGAGCTTCACAGTGCCTGCAGTGCAGGGCAGATGGATGGTGGTACGAGGATGACAGCTATTGGTGGGACTGTGGCTATCATAGGCCGTAGCACCCAACCCACTTATGTAATGTCATAAGAATATTTAGACCAGTTTCAGTACATACATAACATTAATGGTGTCATGCTCCATTGGAGCAACAGTATTTAGTCAATAAGACTATAATTTACGCAACATCAGATCAACTTGGAAATGACACTAAAGCCCATATAATCACTTTTCCTGGAACACTTCATATCAACGTAACAAAACAGAATAGCATATCAAGCAAGCTGAAGTTGTCTCTACATGTTTATACCAAAACTTTCCCTCAAGGTTTTCAATTACTTTAAATCTCTGATAAGAATCGTTTAAGAAAACTTTTTTAAAAGCTTTACTTGGGAATGTGGTGCGGCAAAAGAAACAAAACTAAAAATGGTTCCAAAGACTGTAGCTTAAATCAAACTTTTTTGTAGTTCGTTTGGTTTAGGTAGATGTACCCGCCGCATGCACATTTAAAACAACTAAAAGTTTTTTTGAAACCAGCTGTTTATCTGGCTACTGAAGACCCAACACAATAAACTCAAACTGTGGGAAAAAAGTGGGCATCTATCCATGTCTAACCTGAAAACCTAATAAATAAAATGCTGTCTATCTCTACTGTGTAGGCCCATTTCTTTAGTGTTGAGTTAAATACAGAAATAGTTGCAAGTCCCAACTAGAAAAAATGCTTTGGAAATGGTTTGTTGGGGTGACTCCAGATTAACAGAAAGCATGTTTAAAAAGACTTTTGCACATTTATTACAATAAACAGACTAAAAGACTGTAATCCCAAAATGATTTGTGCTGTTTTCAAACAGACTTATTCAAGTATCTTTGTTACATCACATAGTCATTACAGAGGCAGAGTTAAATCACAGACAACACAAAAATGCAAGGTTGGATTCTGACGCAAGACAGAATCTGAAGATTAGAAAGTAACTTAATTTAAGAGCCAGCTTAAACTGGATACAACCAGATCTACAGTGATCTGTCTGTGTCGTTTAAAAACAATCCAGTTTGATTTAAGCAAATCAAAAGGTAAATTTCTGTTCAGTCAAACTAAGTCTGTAAGAACTAGAGCAATAACAAAAAAATATTATACAACACAAAGTTGTTATATTCAAGCATAATTTTTATTTTTTATTTTTACGATGAACGCTTTTCTAATCTCAAATGAACTCAATGTGGTTAGACCCCAAAACAGAAATGTATTTTATCTTTTTACTGGACAGGAAAGTGCACCATTATGAAAACTTTTAAGGGTTTATTCACATTAATCAACAAGCATGATGGGGATTACCTGTGAGGGCGGTCCTGGAGTCTCTGGTGACGACAGGCTGGCCTGGCTATTTACACTCATCTCCAAAGTATCCACCTTTTCATAGGTTCTTTTTTGCCTCCCTGGTATTTCCAAAGGGGTTAGGGCAGGGTTACTATAGTCACCCAAACTCTTCAGTGACCGAGCAGCCCCATTGACATCCTCTCGTGACAGACACCTGCTTGCTGATCCCCCTCCTCCTCCATACCACCTGAGAGAGTCTGCAGGGGAGCGTGTCCTAGGTACCACAATCCTCTCCCCCATTTCTGGGTCCAGTCCTGCCCTAACCTCCCTCATGGTGTTGGAGCGACTCACTACCTCCCTCATTTCAGCCATAAGTCTCTCATTGAGGGCGCATAGCTCACCGCTGCTGCCTACTGACCCCGGTCTGCCTCCTGCACCTCCACCGGCTACCACCCTTCTCCTGCTCTTCCGTCTCAAACTTGGAGATGGGCCAGTGGAGTAACCAGAGTCCTGATAGTTGGCTGCCGCTTGCGGAGTTGAGGAGGGGAAGTCTTGCGAGGCCTGGCTGCTCTGCCTGCTGTGTCGTGCCTCCATGGCACGCTGCACAGTGGCCTCCAGGATTTTCCAGTTTTGCTTTTTGTCCAGTGAACTTGGGCCTGTGGTTCCTGGCTCCCTTTCCCTAACCTGGTTTCGAGAGTGTTGTAAAAAGTGGCCTTGGGGTTGAGGATGTGCTTGTAATTGGGTCAAGACTGGGTCCTGCCTGGAGGTAGGGGAAGGGGCTCGTGTGGACACAGGAGAGTTAGAGGGGTGACCCTGTTTAGGGTCCACATTGACCATGTGTTTGATGCACTCCAGACCAGCTGGGCTGTAGTCCGATGAAGGATTCCTCCTGTGTCTGGAATGAAATGAACCAGGATGCTGAAGAAGTTTAGGCTTTTGGAGACTTTGAGTGGGTGTCAAGCGAGACAGAGGTTGTCCATTGTGCAGATGTGCCCCCTCTATCTCCATGTCGGTGGGGGGTTCATCATATATGGGAGAGTCTGAAACTGGCTCATCATAGATTGGGGCAGTGCGACCGTACAGAGGAGAGACGGGTCGCGGAGTGCAGGTGTGCGACCTGTGGAGGAGTGGACTGGGGTGGCTTCCATTCGACGATACCAGACAAAAGCTGCCATTGCTGGCTTTTCGTACATGACGTGGGTCAGCAGCTATATTACCAGAAGGGGCTGTTTTGTATCCCTGACTGGAGCTCATGTGTCCGCCTTGGGTCTTGTCACAGGAGTTGTGCAGAATAAAAGCACTGGCTTTGCTGTGTGCACTCTGCTGGAGTTGCTGCTGCAATGCTGGACTGTGCTGGCTACGGCTCATGCTGTTCACCTTCACCAACATGGCTGCTTTAGAGCCAGGTACGGGCTGCCATCCTTGAGAAGCATCCCTGGAAAAAAAAAATTAAATACGACTTCAGTTAAAGCAATAAAGTTTCTCAAATCTAAATAAATACCCAAACGTCAACAAACAGTACCATAAAAGCACCATCATTATATATGATTATTGCAAGCATAACAGGGCTGGGAAACACTCCAGCAATCCATAAATTCTTTTACAAACATTTCACCAACTTCTAAAGCTTCGACTCCATTTTTAGTCTGGCAGTCAAAACAGCCCCGTCAAAGCCACAAGACAATAATTCCTATGTGTATGTTGTACAAATCAAATCCTAAAAATACCAAGTAACTGCACATAACATCTATCCACAGTTCTTCCAAGCAGGTGTGACTCATATGTCTGGTGAATATATTGGGTTTGTTCATCAAAAAATCTAGTAATTGTACAAAAGTGATTCAACATCTGCTCATCAAATCACTGCAGAAAAAGCAAGCCGGCAGACCACAACGATCTGAGTGAAATTCAGAGTTGCACTGTGTTGCAGATGAGGCTTTCACTTAGGTCGAAAGAGTTATTCTTTCTCCAAGTTGAGCAACAAGGCAAACATCAAAGCCAAGAGCTCGCTGCTAATCCCAACAACGAAAAACAATCTGCCATCAATCTGGTCACGCTGCTCTGGTCTGGTGCCCTGAACTCTGCTGCTGCCTTATAATCTTCTGCAATCCAATTCCTCAACTGATCAAAAACATGCCCTCTGAGGCCAACTTCTGCGCCTCAAGCCGGAGTTACGACGCACACGGAAACACGTGAAACAAATCTGAATTTACGAGATCAACTTGTTAATTTAAAAAGGTCAGAAAGGCAAATGACTTTAAAGTAAGGCCAAGCGGACTTACCCCAATTGACCCGTAACTTAGCATGCAGCACAGTAGGTAGCTCTATTAGAACTAGTGATCTTAGCAAATCTAAACTAATAGAATGCAGCGACGAAAAATTCTGTTTAACAGCTTTCCTTTTCCATGAGCTCTATCTAGACTTTACAGTTGGGTTGTAACGACAGGAAGAAGACGGAGAGGGAGGAGAAAAGGAGGTGGAGTGACCCCCCTTCTCCCCCGTCTCTTTGGAACAATGCTGAAACAATTCCCCTGAGGTCCCTCACACCAACGGCTAACTTCCTCTAGTCCTCCATCTCCCTGTCTTTATCAGGATCCCCCTCCCGCAGCGTGAGTCACACCGCCTCAGCCGTTTGAACGTAAACACTCTCATCCTCATACAATCACCCAGATTCATCCATCCAGGCACGGCCCATTGACAGCTGGGTCCAAGCCACCTGGCACAGCACCCAACATGGTGCTTCAGCCTCTGATGTCACCACACAGCCCCTGCCTCACCAGAAGCAATCAAGACAGTTTACTGCCCATTTAACACATCCACAGGCCTGTGTAAAGACAAGCTCTGACAAACCAACACGGTTTGGTTGTTACAAGAGAGTGTGAGTGGGTATGGTTACATGGAGCTGCCGGTGGATAGACGACAGTTGTAAACATGTAAAACCTCTTTGAAGCAGTTTTCTCACTCGGGTTTTATCAAACAGGAAGAGGGGCCGCCTCAGCAGGTGATGCACAGCTGACTGTTTAGCACTGGTTTGCCAACTCAAGAACAGTTCAGACAGGAAACACAGACTGTTAACATAATTGGATTTCACACATAAAGACTTTCCACAAATTAAAACACACGTCTGAGGTTCATTAACCCCCTCTTTGAAAAAAAACATGCATTTTATTATTTTATATTCTTTGTGTTAGTGAAAAAGTTGATGGACAGAACTGACCCTGACCACTACTTCCTGTATGTACAGCCCTTCTGGAGGGTTGAAGAGAGGGCTTCCCCATATTAATTCTAAACAGGAAATGCTGAATGCAATGTTCACACGCTGCATTCGGGCTTCAACAGAGCTCAAACAGGGCTTTATAAAGGGTTTGACCTCACCCATAAAAATATAATATACTCTGTTTTAAGCATATCTTTGGATCCTTTATCTGTATGTTTAAAACTATGACGGTGTAAAAAATATTTCCTGTTTTTGCCTCTCCGAGCAAACATTAAATTCAGCCACAGAATTCATGGTAACATCTGAGGACTGGAAATCAACACTCAATCAGCATTAGAGCATAATTCAGTTCAGCTTACAGCGCTACAAAGGGGGGGATTTTGTAAAGCCTTGTCTATATTGTTCACCTTCTATGGTTGCATTCAAGCTCTGCAAGGATCTGACATGATCAGCCTTTAAAGCAACAATCTCCATGTTGGCACAGGTTTTAAAATGATTATTCCTGATTATAAATTAACTCCATTAAATTAGCACAGTGTCTTCAATCTCTACTCAAGCCTTGTAATTACAGTGACTCAACAAACATTAACAGTACAAGGGGTCAACACAAAGTGTGATTGCAAATTCTAAAATTAAGAGAAGCCACTGCAGTACAATGATGAGAAACTTCTTCAGCTACAACGCACAAGTAATTTGGAGCTCGTGGTTTCTAGTGTGGGGTGAGAAGGAGCAACAGAAATGAGAGAGGATGGTGTGTGTATGGGTGTATGTGAATGAGAGGGGTGGAGCTTAGTCGTGGGAGAGTGCAGCACGGGAATGAGCGGGAAGACAGGAATTCCTCAGGGCTCAAGCAGAGGCCTTTGTGTCAGTGGAGTCTCACACAATGCATGGTTGTGCCATCGTCGCGGAGACACCTTCATTGTCAGCAATGGAGAAAAAGGAAAGAGCAAAGAACCATCTTTGACCCCTCACTGATCAGGCAACGACCAGGTTACATAATGCCCGACAGGCCCGGGCGTCAAATCTAACCAACCACAAAGAAAGTTGTTTAAAAAAGGGTGTGTTGCATGCTAGCAGGTGTTAGCTGAATGTGGGCTGAAGACCCATTCAGTGGGATTATACACAACAATTTATCACAAAAGTTGGAAAATATAAGATCAACTAACTGAGTGTAACAAGTCCCACTGTTTGCAGATTTATGATTTTCATTTAACCCTTTCATCAGATGCACACACTGAAAATACAGGCATCATTTTTAGGTCTACTCACAACATGGATCTACAAACCCATTTATTCAGAGCATCAAAGTTCGTGCTCAATAATTCAAGTAATGAATCCGACAAAGTTAAGTCAGGTCCTCTGGACAGTTTCTTTGTGTTGAAACTTTGATGTTTTGAACCACTTTGGCCATGGCTGCCTAAGTGGAGTCGACGGGGGAGAGGGCAGACTCCAAAAACTATCTTTCCACCATCAGACTGGTTGGCCCACTATGCGAGTGTGCTATTTATGGGGCCGAGTTTGTCGTGGCTCCTCGGACTGATGAAGTCCTTTGGATGAAAGATGAAACATTACAAGAAAACCGTCCAGAAGAACTGACTTACTGTAACTTTGTTGCATTTATTCAGAGGTTAAAGGTAGCCTGAAAGATCTTTGAGAAGATAAAAAAAATTTGAGGACTGAAAAAAGTTTGAGGCCCTCGGGGAACAAACAAGGTAATCGAACTGGTTTCTGAAGCAACAAATCAACTTAAAGTTCAGCAGAACTCAATTAGCCATTGTGCTGCCTTGGACCCAAAACTGTCACTATTCTGAACATATGCAGGGGTCATTTTGTCTTAACAACACAGTAAATGCTACAACAAGCAGCCTATTTTCACTAGATGTCAACATTTTTAGTGCATAAAACAACACTTTTTATATTCCCACGAGCCAATTTAAAAAATAGAGATATGATTTTGGAAATTCCAAAATAAAATCCCTGTGAGTAGTGGAGTTAAAAAACAACTGGTTATTAATAACATTGGCTGAACAGAAAGAGGAAATGAGGTCATCCAGACCAGGCTACTGCTGCACTAACACCTCAGAGTACAGACAAACGAGAGCTGCAATCTGCGTAGAGGAAGGAAACTGAAGACACAGAGGAACCACTAAGGTTAATGATAAATCCACTCCAATGATTTTGTCTGTTGTTTTTGAAAAGATTCAATCTTATTTTGAAGCTTTTTTTTTTTAAGTTTGAGGTGAGACTGGTAGTGTTCCAGTTCCTGTAGGACACCTCCAGAGAGACAGCTGTCCCCAACAGCTGAATTGACACGCCTTCCTCCACGGAGTCAAGATGCCTAGCAGCTGTGTTGGTCTGTGGCTCCAGCAGCCTGTGAGGAGTGCCGGGCTGGGTCAAAGGACAGCCAGTAGGATTGCTTTCTCTGAAGGGAATGGGATAGAACCAAACCCAACTGGATTCCACAGCGACCCGTCTCTGGAGCCTAAAAGTTTATCTGGTGCTTTTTGCACGCCCAGTATGATACTGCTGAAACTGCAGACTGTCTCTGCTCTCATGAACAGGGTCACAAAAGCAAAAAGAACAGAAAAAGAGTAGCATTGTAGTATGCAAAAATACACCATGTCTGAGAGTGTAAGTCAGCTGAGGGAGTCAGACTGCGTGCCTCGGGCCGGTTCAAATCTGGTGCCACAGATGAACGAATTACTCTCGCACCACAGAAACAGACAGAGGCTAACTGTACAAGAGGGGTGGAAAAAAAAGCTGAAATAAAATAATTAAAGTTGTGGACACACTGCTTCAGTAAAACAGAAAGTCTGTAATAAAGTTCTCAAGGACTTCAAACTCTCCAATTATGTGAAACACAGAAAACAAAGAAAAAAACGACCAGGGGATAAATAAATAAAACACATGAACAATTTCATCCAGACTAAAGCAAAAAAGATCAGAAGCGCAACAAGAAGCTTTTTCTGTCAATGTGGAAAAAATAACGAAAATTTAAAACAGGTTCTATAAAGAGCTAATAAAATGAGCTTACCCCACCAGGAGCGTCAAGATAAAAGTCCTTCCAGCGCATGTGTAAAAATGTTGTGGCTATGTCCTCTGAGTGGTGGGAGATAAAAGGCACCAAAGACGTTCTCATGCAGTAAACACGAACTGAATGTGTGATTCATTAAAAACTTTTTCTGGCCTGTAAAACTCACCCATATTTCCTAAATAAACCTTACTACTGATTTCTCCCGTATGGCTCACAGCCCGTTAGTCACAAGCATGTTAGAGGAAGCTGGTCAGGTCTGTTTGTTTTCGCTTTTCATACTTTTGCTTTTGTGTGAAAAAAAATGCGGCAACAAACTTCCCTCAAACTGGAAATAGAAAGAGATAATGAAATAAAAAGTTTCCACTTGTGTTTTGTTTGTATCAATAGATTCAGGCTGCACAGAAGTCTGTTGAGAGTCAGCCTCCCCACCATCACAGACATTTACACCTCCAGATGCAGGAAGAGAGCCACCTGCATCACGAAGGACCCCACTCACCCAGCACACACACTTTTTGCCCCGCTCCCCTCAGGAAGGAGGTTGAGAAGCATTAAGTGTAGAACCACTAGACCAGGGGTGTCAAACCCACTTACAAAAACAGACCAAAATTAAAAACATATTTCAAACTAAGGGCCAGTTTCAGAATCTACATTAACTCAAGTTAGATACCAAACATCTTTTCTTGGTTGCAGGTTCCTCAAAAAGAGTTTGACTGGTCTCACTGGACATTCTCTGTTGTACTTTTGACATAATAATCAAAGATTACTGAAAAAAATAAAGTGATAAAGTATTTTACATTAAAAAGAACGTCTTGGGGGCCAGATGTCAACGAGGGCCATATTTGGCCCCCAGGCCTCGAGTTTGACACATATACACTAGACTGAGGAACAGCTTCTACCCTGAGGCTGTTAAGACTCACGAATCTCTAACCAGAATAATCACTGTGAAGAATCACATCATGCTGCTGCTGATCTGTTTCATGTTGCTGCTGAGCCGTTTCATGTTGCTGCTGAGCCGTTTCATGTTGCTGTGTTCATTTGTGCTCACCTTCTCACACAGACTCATGTTCGTGCTGCTGTTCGACTTATTGTGTTTAGTGTTTTTTATGCTCTTAGTGCTTAGTGTATATTTAGTTGATGTTTTTCTTAGTTCATAGTCTTAGTTCATAGATCATATTACTGTTTTTCTTTTACATTTTATTGCTGGATGTAACTGGGACCCTGTGTACATAATTTCGTTCCAAAGAATACCTGAAAATAAAGAATACCTGAACCTGAATTCTGACTAAAGATTTTCATGTCTGTTCTTAAGCTTCTGATACAAAAATTTTAACAAATTAAAATACCATTTTAACAATTTTTTATTTTTTTCCCCGGCTGCTCCTTTCTTCAGGGGTCGCCACAGCGAACTAAGTCACACAAAGACTTTGCAGTTATTTTTTAAGCCGGATGCCTTTCCTGATGCAACCACCGAGCTACCACAGCCCTTTGTGTGGAGCAAAGAGCTGGTATCTAGGGCGCCCAGGGAAGCAGATGATGGGGGTTAAGGGCTTTGCTCGAGGGCTCAGAGTGGGGCGGGTAGAGAGGCAGGTGTGGGTGCTTCACCTTTGCCTCCCACAATTTGATGTTGTCGGTACTGAGAGTTGAACCAGCAATCTTCCGATCACAGGCCCACCTTCTCTAACCTCTGCACCACCACTCCCCTCAAAACAAAAAACACCAAATCAAAACACAATTTTAATGAAACTTTATTAAACATTAAAATCAGTCAGTCTCCACTTTAGGGTTTAAGAATTTAAGAGCTGTTTTCACGGCTGATACTTTCATTGCGCCATGTAAAAAAAAAAGAAGTTTTTAGGGTAGTCCAAAGCCAATCAGGAAATAGGTTTTAGTTATCTAATACCAGCACGACTGTCTGTAATTGGTTGAGCACAGTTAATATTATGGAACTAAAGCAAAACCATTGAAAGTAGTTTTGTTGTTCCTCTCTGTTCGGCACACAAACATCCTGATAAAAGAATGCTTCAGTTAACCTTGGGACATTATTGGGTTTAAAATGTTTTCTTGGCCTATGATACACCTCAGGGCATTTTATAAGACAAAACAGAACTATGACCCAGATGCAAACTACCATGAGTCATTACTGGCTGGTCTGACAACCTTGCAGTCAAGTGTAAGCATACTTTATCATCTCCTGAGCTTCAGCTGGTGTAAAACTCAAAATACCAAAAGGAAGAAGCCCACACACAGCCAGGGTGTAAATTATTTACCTGCTCAATGACAAAGTGTGTAAAACTGAATGCAGATGTTATAAACTCATTGATTAGTAACACCTTTCAGTTTTGTATCATGGATAAAAAATATTTTTTCCTTTCCAAGCGGAGCTCTTGGTACTTCCCTGATTAACGGCACAGATTCAAAGTACCCAGAAATTCCCAGGACATGTGATAAGACTTGGCCAATGATTTACAGATGTGGCACTCAAGCAGACATACAAGCACACTCATGTAACTGCACTTGTGTGGACCAATTATATACAAGTAAAAAGGCTGTATGCTGTCATCATCGTATGTTCCAATACAATGAAGAACTTACCAGTAGTTCTCTGCATTTAACCCATCACACCTGGGATAAACCCAGGTGGAACAGTGGGCAGCTATGCAAGCTGCCTGGGGAGCAATTAAGGATTAGGTGTCTTGCTCAGAGACACCACGACATGTGGGAATGGCTGGGGATCAAACCTGGGACTTTCAGGTCCCAGGTCAGCTGCCCTGCTTCTACCACATCTCAGCCTAACTATGAACACAAAACACAGATATAAAGGAAGTGGCTGGTTTAGCTACATATAGCTCACACAAACAGTCTATTTAGAACAAATTAGTTTAAAACAAAAAGAAACAAATGATTTCTCCACTGAACAGTATTGTTCTTTATTGTCAGAAGTTAATAACATTATACTGAGGCTTTACTTGAAACACAAAAAAAGGAAGACTGAACAGACATGTCTGAAATAGACCAAATGTCCAAAAAAACACCAAGTAACTTAAGAAAAGGAAATTACCCATTTATGGAAGTGAAAAAGATTACCTGAAGTTAAATGTAAAACTAAAAATTAGATATCCTCAACACTCTTCTGGTCGGAAAAGAACAATTAATTCTTCTCAGATGACCCCTATAAAGGGCCCGGCTCAATCCGAAGCTGAACAGTCGGCGCACGGTCACGAGGTTGCAGGATGTTCGTTTTCGTACACAGCTTCCACAGTCCATGTGACACAGGCGCAGGGAAAACCCTCCCACTGCAATATACGTCGCCGCAGGGGATTCTTCACGCCAGAGTCTCCACTCTGTCCCTGCAGCCGCTGTTTGGCCACAAATCTATCATGAAGAGAGCACCACACTTTTCAGCCGACACTCCTCATACACAATGTCTGCACGATCTCCATCCAGGAGTTATTGGCCATTTGACTAATGTACCGTGTTTGAAAAGTCTTACAGCTGAAAGCCTGAGTGAATTCCACATTGACAAACGCATCACAAACTTTTGACCAATCACACAACACATGGCGTATACAGTTAAAAAGTTTGGCCTGAGCCTTGTGTCGAGAAGAGGCGGGCGAAGCCGCTCTGAAAACAAAATGATGTGATTTTCATCACACAGCTACGACAATAAGAGTCCATTTTGCCGTTTCAGATGGAGTATGCGGGTCCTTTAGTCTTCATTAAAACTTTCTTACTTGGTCTCACCTCTTTCTTCTAGTCATTTTCAACAAACTGGATCATTAAATTAAGTCTAAATTTATTTTACTTTGTTCTGATCAGACACATTCTAGCCTCTCTGCAGTTTGTGGTGGTTTCTAATTACCTCCTGAGATGCTGTGAGTGGTAAGAATGTGAAGGAACATATGGTTAAGTAGGGTATCAAGTCACAAACAGCTAAAGACGCCTCAGCTTTCTGCTGGAACACAGCTGGCCATTGTTTTGTGGGGGGGACAGAAAAGGTTCTGGGAAAGGTGGAGTCATTGGGGAAGTGTGGGACCCTTTGGAGAGCTCCCTCACATTCACCAGATACAACTCAGCAAGGTCTCCAGTTATCCTATCCAACAGCTACAGGTTATCTTTAGTTCCCGGTTCATCTTTATGCCACACTAAAGTGTCAGGTAAGACAAGAGACCCCATCAGAAGAAGAGTCAAATGGGTCTGGAGAACAAGCGCTGCAGCAGAAAAACAGCTGGGTCTGCCTTGCTCGTAAGCAGCAGGAATGTAGCGGTTCAGCTTGTTATTAACCACAAACAACACTCTCCCTCATGCCTCCCATGCAAGCACATTAAAGGGGTTACAGATTTCTATAGCCTGGGGCCTGGATTTGTTTTAGGAAAATGAAATGAGCACTGCTTCAGAGCAGAGAGTGAGGTGGCGGTCAGTACACAGAGGGACACTGAGATGGCCTTTGCGGCCGCACGCCAGGAGAAACAGAAGTGGCATGTCTGGTATTTGACTTGGAAGACGGAAAGGTGGTTTGGATGAGGCCACAACACCAAGCGCATGATGGGGTCTCTGAATGACTTACTGTTGGGGCTTGTTCTGCACCAGTAACCCAAGCGTGAGGAAAAATGTTGTGTTCTCTAACATAACTGACCATTTTCCTCCATTTGGTAGTGATTTGCTCAAATGGTTGAGCATGGTTCACAGGCAATCATATGGAAACGTGGAACATATGGAATGTTCAGATAAGTGAGAAAGAAAACAAAAAAAAAACAATTTGTGACTGGTCCAAATGGTCAAAGATCAACATGATCTGGCAAATTCTCAGAACTGAAACATTTTAAAGTCTTTAAAACTCACTATGGTACAAGTCATGATGAGTATCACATTTCCTCTCTGTTCTCTTGGTAATATGAACCTGGAACGATTAACCAAAAGCTTTGAATAGACTACTTTAAATATATTCAGTCTTACCTCTGCAGGTCTTTGCTGTCGTTTATGTCGTTTTCTGTGCTGCTTTCATCTCCCTTCGATCTGCTGTCCACTCCCGGATCCAAATCAGCATCAACAGTTTCACCCGTGGGCTCCAGGGCTCTGGGCAGCAGGTGGTCACTGTCTTGTTCTGGCAGAGGGGTGCAGTGCCCCTGACTCCCCATGCTGCTGATACTCCCTGTGGTCCCAGGATGGTACTTCTCTGCACCCCCTCCAGCCTGCCTGGCTTCACGGCACCGCTTCATGGCCTGGAGCTGGGAAAGGGGCACTATGTCGGCTCCCTGGGGTCGATGCCAGACTGTGCGACGCCCAGTTGAGTTGTAGTAGTAGAAGCGGCCGCTTTGGGGGTCAAACAGCTCCCACCACTGGTTGCCGTCTGCCTGGCGAACAGGAACACCCAGAGGAGGGTCCCAACCACATTCGCCTGTGGTTAAATTGACATACATGCGCTCACGGGAGCGTGGCTCCAGGATCTCCACCCAGTCAGAGCTGAGAAGAAACAGGGCACAGGATAAAAAAAAAATTACTTCCACCTGAAAATGGAAACAGATTCTTCACAGACAGGATACAACGCTCTGTTAGAGGTAACGGTCACGCCTGAGCACTCAGCTAGACAGGCGGTAAACAAGTCACACCGTTTGACAGACTGGGACCTGCAAAAATGCCCACTTGTCCATATGGAGAGAGTGTTAAAAATTGTGTTCCCTACATGCATCCATCTGTATGTGTGCACCAAGAATGATGTCATTTATAAGAAGGAGCTGCAGAAGTAACTGCGTTCCTGAATAAGACGACAGGTGGACACACTCGGTGCCAGGCTTGGAGTCAGAGGGGCCCAGAGGGAGCCGTGCACTCAGAGGGCTAAGCGCAAACCACAACTACAGTCAGAGGGCAACAACCGCCAGCTCAGCACAATGCAGAACAAAACAAAACAAAAAAAAACTAGAGGGTGGAGGAGCAAAAAAAGGGGTGATCTGGAGAGAGCAGAAGAATAAAACTCAATGCAGGAGGGCAAACAGGGAAAACAGTTAAATATAAGTGTGAAAACTGTTTTTAAAGTTATTTGCTAATGGTCTATGCCACTGACATGTTGATATATATATATATATATATATATATATATATATTTATATATATATATATATATATAAAACTGTAAAAATATTGAGATGTCAATTATCTTTTATGAGTGGTCTTGATGAATAGATCCAGACTTTTAAGTTCTTTCACAGTTTGTTTACGGCAAAATTTTCCTGAATCATTTTTAATTCTGTCCAGTTCTTGACTGTTTTGAAAGAAATGTTTTGGTTTGTTAGATCATTTAACTCTGACGAATCATTCAGGACTCCTAAACTCAAGATGAACCAGTGTTCAGGATATAAATTATTTTAAGGATTTATTTAAGATAAGATCAAATTCAAGTTAACAGGCATCAAAATACTTCATTTGCAACAAAAAGATTCCCAAAAAGTCATTAGCCATATACAAATCTTACAACAGATTAATCCATTCACCCAGTCACTTGCACGCACACAACATTTAGGTGAAGTTGAAACTTGTAATGCATATTGTTCAAAGGAGCCAGCTCCACTTCAACACAATGAGGACAACAGCTGTCTGTCCCCACCCTCACACATCCGGAGTCCATGACAGTGTTTTCTATCAGTTGAAGTACATTGTCTTAATATAGTAAATGCATGTGGAACCGTGCTGACGAAACATAGGTGACCTCATTAGACGGAAAACAATGTTAAATATCTGTGGTGAAAACTGAAGGAAAAAAGTGTTTTATGCATATTTATTTATTTTCTTCTTTCAGCTGCTCCCTTCTTCAGGGGTCACCACAGTGAACTAACTCGTATGAAGACTTGGCAATTGATTTTACGCCGGATGTCCTTCCTGACGCAACCACAGACCACCGAGCTACCACAGCCCATTGTGTGGAGCATGGAGCTGCTATCTAGGGCACCCAGGGGAGCAGATGGGGGGTTAAGGACCTTGCTCAAAGACCCAGAGTGGGGCAAATGACGGTGGAGGCAGGTGTGGATGCTTCACCCATCCCACAAACATTTTGATGTTGTCGGTACCGGGTGTTGAACCAGCGATCTTCCGATCACAGACCCACCTTCTCTAGCCTCTGCACCGCCACTCCTCTTACACACAACTCACATAAAGACTTCAAAGTATGTGCAGGTAAAAGTGTTGAGTGTTTTTTTTTTGCATTCTTGATTCGTAAACTAATGCTAGACACCCAAAATTCACAAGTGAAATACTGTATTCAATAATACGTACATTTTAAACATTAAAAGTATGCAGTTATATTTTTTCACATCTCTTTATATTTTTGCAGAAAATAGAAAAACACAAGTCGTTCAGTGTCAATTATAGTTAACAAAAAGAAATGATGTACGTCAAAATTAGAAACGGAATAAAATTTTTTAAAAAAATTGTGAAAAAAAGGCCTATAATTCAACATTAGTGCAACTTATTTTTTTCATCAAAGTTAAGTTAGGTCCTGTGGACGGTTTCTTTTTTTTTGTCGTTGAAACATTTAGTCCCTCAACAAAACATAAAAAAAAAAAAAAAAAAGATGACCTGACTTAAGTTCGTTGGATTTTTTACTTGGATTATCGATCATGAATTTTTAAACTTTATATTTTTTCCCCAAGTGTTTTTTTTCTTTACAATAAATCAATCAAATTATAAAGCTATTGGTGCTATATATCCAGGTCATGAAACTGTTTAGTGGGCTCAGCTTGTCTCGTTTGATTTAGTTCACCAGCAGAAGCTTTAAACATGTCAACAAATGCATGAGGGGAAAAGGCAAACAGCCAGGAGTCCTTTTGCTGATCATTTTCTTATTTTCTCACAGTTATCGCTTAAAGATCCTATTTTTTAGTATCCCACATCAGTCTATCACGTTATCTTTGACAGAAAGTGCCAGTGGGTAAGAAATGTCACAAGATCCTGTTTGAGCTTTGGATGTTTTCCCAACTTTCTCCTTGGAAGAGAAAAGCTTTTCTCCTCCCAGTCATGTTGTTTGTGGGATGATTCTAATGTCCAGGATACATAGGATGACCAGAAGGGGTAAGAAGCTTAGCATGGATAAGATACAATATCCACCAAATACACATATATGTTTCTTGTGTTCCTGCCAAGTCAACCCTGTGTGCGCCCCTGGCTCAGAAATAGATACGAGTGTGTGGTGCCAGTCAGCTCTGCCAGATTTACACTGTCATTCTATTGGCTGCAACTCACTGGGAACAGCTGCTCTCGGTTTTAACTGAAAAGGCTCAAGTAATATAACTGAACCTGTTAATCAAGTATCAAGCTCTTCCTGACTTATGTGGTGCCAGCAGCAGTCCCAGGCTCTCCACACCTCCATATAGCAGTCAGGTAAACATAGAGCACCAACAGAAGATATTATCCTTCCACATACCGCTTTCCCATTTGGACCCGTGCTCTCTGCTGAGAAGCCATCTGTTTTACTCTGTCACACCAGAAAAACAGCCCTAAACTCTTGGAGGGCTCAGCATGTTATGGCATTTATACGTTAAAAAGAGATGTATGTTTTGCTTCTCCCATTAAAAATCACAAGTGTATACGGTAAACAAGATGCTTTTGAAAGACTTACCGGTAAATATTCTGACATCTCACAAAAAATCAAGGTCCATTTATATCCATGTACTTACATGCGCACGCTGAGAAACTGAAATTCTTCATGCTGCATTTACTACTGCTGTGTTCACCACAACTCTCTAGAAGCAATGTTAAATCTGAACCCATGTCTCATTTTGATGAACAAGTAATAAATCAAGCGGCAGCTATGCGTTGCACCCTTTTTTCCTTTCTGCGTGTCACAAAAGTCAACAGGAGTGACACACGTCAACATGTCGGGCGGTGTCCTGATCCGCCTAACAGGAAACCAAGGGTTTGAAGGTCAGCTCGGGAGGCTGTCGCTGACGACCTGTGCAGCACAAGGAGCAGCAGTAGCAAAAGGACTGCTCCCTCTGGGTAAATAAACATGGGTAAGAGCTAAGAGCTGACCCGCTGGGCTCTGTTGACATGACCAGACACACATGGAAGACAGGCTGGCATTCAGGATCAAATCACCATTTGGAAAGACTCAACAAACTGATGTGATGATTGAATGAACTTGCCCTGTACAACAGTTCTTTTCTCTAAAACCAAGCTCATGATGTTCGAATATTTATACAATAATTTTAGTTTTCTACTCATGCCTATATTTACTAGACTGTAAGACTTTAAAGTAATTTAGATGACTGAAAAAAAGAACTAAACTCAAAAGTAGAGGACTGTTTTTGTCACAGTTTGTATTTTGTGAGTGATTCTGAACAGAAAACCACATAAATATAAACTCGAGTCTTTTTAGCTTATCTCATCCCTTGCGAGGCAGACACAAAGTATGGTCCTGAACCCCAAATGACTGCCTCACGCTGCAAATGTTCATAAATGGCCTGGAATGCAGTCTGCACCAACTCTGAGTTTTAACTTCACCAAAGATGTTTCAGATTCATTTGTAATGAACTCGTTACACATGTGGCCCTTTGACTGAAGCATGTAGCACCTCTGGGGAACTCGGTAAAATATACTTGTAGGTATGAGAACATAAGTTGCAGGTTCGTGTCATCTTAAGAAAGCAGCTGAGAATTGTACAGATTACGTAGGGGAAAAACTTCACGTATCTTTAAGTTCATAAAAATCATGAAAGCAAAGCTGTGTCCATTCGTGGTTTAATATTTGTCTGGTGACAGACAGTTCTGTGTCAGAAAACTGCCTTCAGGCCTCAAAGTCAGAGGAACTAAAGGGAGAAATCTCATGTCCCTTTTGTTCTTTTAGAGCGTGCTATAAAACACACTGATGGCACAGAGGGTCTCTGTCTCCCATTTGGGTCAAGGAGACGCTTGAACACTTATTTTTTGCTACAGCGGCTAAAAATAAAAACTGGTCAAATTGTAAAACCACAAAAGACACAGCTGGGCCCACGAGTCCAAAACTAAAAAAAAAAAAAAGCACACACCAGCACACAACACACCTTCCTAACCATCATCTTACAATCAAAATGCTCCAGATGCTTACTGAAAAATAAATTAATCTAACAAAATTTACAGTCAGCTCCAAAAATAACTGGCACTGAGTGCAGTTTCTCAGAGAGGGAAACAACAGAGCAAAGCTCATGGAATCTGCCCCATTGTTCGAAGCCAACGCCAAAGTGTAAATGGCACTTTTCCCAGTAGCAGTAAACATAGAAGAGTGGACAATGCGTTCCCTAGAAATGGGGCAACAAGCAGTCTTGTGTCATTGTCCAGATCTGGATTTCAAACAAACCCAAATGGCAATGTGGCCGTTTGATTTCAACAAAAAGATAAACTAAGTAGAGAAAGAGACAACTTTTCACTGGGAGAATAAAGTTCAGACTTAACCGAGGCACCAGCATTTAATCAGATGAACATGTAATGGCGGATTTC